ATAGAGCTGAAAAAGTAGTGCAGTTTGTGGGTGGCAGGACACGAGGGATGCCCTTAGAACAGGCAAAAGGGCCACATGTCGTCAAGGACAAAGCTCAGAAGAGAAGCGTTGGAAAGGAGGGATGGCACAGGAGACACAGGGAGGGAGTGGACAAGTGGTGATCCATCGAGGGGTTGCACTAAATGAGATGAAATGAATGAATGGTTGGATGGAAAAAGCATGATCTCTGAAAATCGTCACCCAATTCACAGTAAAAAGCTAAAAAAAAAGGGGTGGGTGGGCGGGGTGGGTGGGGGTGGAGATTCTGTTTCTAGGGATGGCTGGCAGCGGTCTCTCTCCCAACCCCATAGCCTCTTCCTACAGAATCCAAGTGGCTTCAGACTTACAATCCTGACAGGGATGGAGGACCCAGGAGGCAAAGTAAGAGTGGAACTTACTCATGCTCACTTACTCATCGACAGTGAACAATTTCCTGTGAAGTCATATTTAATAATAAGAAGAACACCTTTAAAAAGGGTCAAGAACTTTGGGGGTAAAGTAAGGTGACCAGATTTAAAGCGGGACACCATTGACCGGGGGTGAGGGGTGGTTCTTGATTAAACATTTGGTCTAGATGGACTAAATAGACCATTCCCTAGCTTGTGTATTCTTTCCAAAAATTGGGACTCTTTTAAAACGCCAAAAATCGGGACTGTCCCGCCAAAAGCAGGACGTCTGGTCACCTTAGGGTAAAGCCACCATCTGAAGGCATTGGTTATGCCACGTCTCTGAGAAGAGCCAGGCTCATGTTCTGGGCAGAGAGCAGGAACAGGAGTTGGGGGGTCTCTCTGCCGGGGCTAGGGAGGGGCTGGGAAGAGACTGGAGGGCAGTGCGTAACTGAGGCTGCCAAGGGCTTTATTGAATTGCAAAGCTGGTCTGCAGATACAGCACGAGACAGAGAGCTCATTCAGGGCTGCCCACCCCATGCTGAGGACTCCTGAGGCCACATGCCCTCCAGATAACATCTTTAATATCTAACGGGAAATGAATTCCCCCGCTTGCTCGGCCCTTCTGGCCTCCCTCTCACTGTTTATCTGGCAGCGCAAGGGCACCATTCTTCCTATCGCCTCGGCTTCTCGTCACTCCTGACAAACATCATTGCAGTGGCAGCTCTGGACGGTGGCATTCCTTTTCCCCCGTACTTCTGCTTTTATGGGTGGCTCACTGCACAGCTGTTGTTCTTGTCCGGTACAGAGGCACTACACGAAAAAGCATTGGCTGGCCTCCATTCCAGAAGGTAGCAGCATATGATCGAGAATGGACAGTACTGAAGGATGACGTCCAGGATGCACTGAAGGCACTGGCAAAAATCAAAGCCCCGGGAATTGAGAGACTATCCATGGAAATGTTCTAACCAACAGATCCCATATTGGAAGTGCTCCTCTTTCTTCTGTGCCAAGGAATTTGGCCGTCTGCCCGGAAGAGATCTGTACTGGTGCCCATTCCCCTGAAGGTTCTCCAGAGGAGAGCTTTCATTCCTTCAAAGTTAATATAGCTCTTCTCATTATAAAAGCTATAAGTGCTTATTACTGTAATAACGAGAGAGGAAGAAAACAAAACAAAATCAACCGTTTCAAAACAGGGAAAGCGCTATTTTATCATTATCAAGACAAGGATGGTTAAGTTTTCAGGACATCTAGTTGAAATGGATCTTTAAAAAAATGTAGGCCCAGGTCAAAGAGGAGAAAGTAACAGGTAGGGTAGTGGAAGGGAGACAAGGAAGTTAGATTAATGGGAAAATCACAACCAGAGTTGAAAATAGTGACCATGCGGACTCATTGCCAATGTCACAGAACAATATATACAGACATTGTTAACTCAGAACTTCATTTTGTATGTAAGTATTCTCCCAAAACACTTTTTTTTAAAATGAGGAGGTATTGGTGAAATTTTATACCTTGGGCTAGGATGTTTTAAAATTATTCTTTATAGTGTACATATAATTTGAGTATAGTCAAAAAATCTCAATGGGAAAATAAATATTAAGATATAGATTTTGGATTTTGGAAGGACTGGCCTACAAATTTTGTCTGTCACTAGATTTTTGCCCTTTTAAAAAATATTTTTAAACTTTTTTTTGCCTTTACAAGAGAAGTTGTATTGTTAAACATTTACCTTATGTTTCAGAAAGAGTGACAGATTAGCTCAATCCAACATGATTGGCGGTTGGCAAAAATCTAGTGAAGCAAGTGTTCTGATTGCTAAGGATTTAATCTGGATGCTTTGAATAGTTAGCAACCTACACTTCAAACATAATCCAGAACCAATGTGTCATCTCCCTCTCTCTCACCTTAATACCTCACCTCCCTCATTCACTGTGGAAATGTCTTCATTAAACAAGAAGAACAAGTTCCCTGGGCTTCCAGCCATGAGCACAATGCACAAAAAGAAAAGCTCAAAATAAACTGATAATTTACTAATCTAAGGAACAAAACCTTCCAATAATTAAGAAATCATTCCAGTTAAAAATGCACCACTAGGGCTGCATAGTAACTGTAAGCGGCCAGCTATTTACAAGATCCACAAACAGGAGTGGTGCACCTAGCCCAGCCAAGAGGAAGATGGCTTTGTCGGAGGGAAGCTGGATCCTTTCCTGATGATGCACCTGAGCCGAGCCACAGAGATGGCAGTTGGAATCAGGTACTTCCGTTTGTCAGTGTCAACAATCTGAGAATCAGGGACTTTTTCCACAGCCACCGGCACCCTGTCGGGGTATTTCGCGCGGATTTTCGCGGAGTCCACGCATCTGCGTTCCAACGAGTGGACCTCCTTGAACATCCACTTCGTGGCGGTGGCGAGGAGGGGACAGAGGCAGCTCTTGCAGCCAAGGAGTTCAGTGTACCAACACAACAACCAGATTTTAAACTCTTAAGAAATGCTAACATAAAGTTGGAAGCATTGTCCAATAGAATTACAAAAGTGGAAATATAAAAATTTATGAAAACTATAAATATGAGTCACTAGTGGGCACAGAAAAAAAATCACCACAGATTTAAAGTAGGAAATCAAATTGATCTAAATGACATCTGAACGATTTAGATAATCTGATCAACTCTCATCCACCCAATGTATAACAACAACAAAAGAAGAATCACAAATGACTTTCTTTTCTTTTTTTTTTTTTTAACATTTTATTAGGGGCTCATACAACCGTTATCGCAATCCATACACACATCAATTGTGTAAAGCGCATTTGTACATCATTCTCAAAACATTTTCTCTCCACTTAAACCCCCGACATTAGGTCCTCATTTTCCCCCTCCCTCTCCGCTCCCCGCTCCCTCATGAGCCCTTGATAGTTTATAAATTGGTATTTTGTCATATCTTGCCCTGTCCGACGTCTCCCTTCACCCACTTTTCGGCTGTCTGTCCCCCAGGAAGGAGGTCACATATAGTTCCTTGTAATCGGTTCCCTCTTGACTACCCACTCTCCCTCTACCCTCCCTGTTTCGCCACTCACACCACTGGTCCTATAGGGATCATCTTCCCTGGATTCCCTGTATTTTCAGTTCCTATCTGTACCAGTGTACATCCTCTGGTCTAGCCAGACTTGCAAGGTCGAATTCGAGTCATGGTAGTGGGAGCGGGGAGGAAACATTTAGGAACTAGAGGAAAGTTGTATTTCTCATCATTGTTACATCGCAACCTGACCGGCTCATCTCCTCCCTAAGACCCCACAAATGACTTTCAAAGATTCTGTTTACATTGTGGAAGTGAATAAACAGATTATGGACCTGTCCTTGCTTAGAATAATAATGATAATGTTAGGTAGCCAGAATTGGGACTGAGGGGGTTAACTCCCCAAAGCCTGCATACAAAGGGGTCCGGAAAGAAATCAGGCACCCTAACTAGACTCCATATGGAAAGACCCAAACTGATCTGAGCATGCTCAGACACAAGGCCCTAGGCCCAGGGGGGGCGGTCCACCTGGGTGCACAGACTAGCCCAGCCACCTGACATCACCCAGTTGCACGCAAACTCAGCCAGTGAGGTCGACCAGTGCCTTCAGCCACGCCTGCCCAGACGGAGTAGGTAAGGCTGTCACTCTTGTGAGCATGCGCTCTTGCAGGGTGCAGGGCAGGGACCTGCCCTTCCTCTCAGGCCACTTGGGATTTCCTGCAAATAACTGAAATTTCCCTTTTCCTCATAAAAGTTACTTGGATTACAAACGTGCTTCTGCCATGTGAATTCTTTTTAGCGCTGCGAAGCAAGAACCGGGGTACGCCATTCCAGAAACCTAACAACATAAGGTTTTTGGTTTTTAAAAATCCTTTTATTGGGGGCTCATATAGCTCTTTTCAAAATGCATCCATACATCCATTGTGCCAAGCACATTTGTATAATTGTTGCCATCATTTTCAAAACATTTCCTTTCTATTTGAGCCCTTGGTATCAGCTCCCCTCCATCCCCCACGAATCCTTGATAATTTATAAATTATTATTTCTTCATGTCTTGAACTGGCCAACAACATAAGGTTTAAGGTTTTTTTAGTGCTGGGGTGGTTTGTTCAAATGCTTACACTAGAAACTCAGGGTGTTGTGGATAAATCAACAATTGGCCTGAACCAACTTGACCTGCCAAAGGCACTATCGCCCACTGCTTCGTAGATGGTTTGGGCAGAAACTTCTAAAAGCGATGAAGTGAAACGTAATAAAAGTTGCGCTCTGGCAGTGTTAGAAGACGCCTTCCCCGCGGCGGCGTTGTTCAGGTGGAGAAGAGGCAACAGAAGCAGCAAAGACAGGAGGCGTGGAAAAGCTGAGTGGGTCGGGATAGCAGCAAGTAATCGTCGTCCCAGGGGAGAAGGCCCCTCGGGCGCCCGCCCGCGGGCCTCGCCCCATCTCCGCTTCCTTTTCCCGCCCTCTGCTAGCCCCGCCCTCCGGAAAACAGGCGTCGGGGGCGGGGCCTCTGCGGTCATCTCTTTGCGCCTTCTCAGAGCGCGCGGATTCGGAGGCGCCGTTTAATGACGTCACGAGCACTGACAGCGTGGGGCGCTGGCGGCCGTGTCTGCGGCTATGGTGGTGAGGAGCCCGGTCAGAGTCTGAGAGCCAAAGTTAAGGTCCTGCCCGGGGAGAGTGCTGGGGAAGCCGGGAGGCAGCGAGTTCACTGGGCGCCCGGGGTGAGGCTGGGCAGGGGTTGAAGGCGCCGAGCCGGACTCCGTGGTTAGGAATGGGGTGGTGGTGGAGGAGAGGCGCGGTGGTCCGAGCCCGCGGGGTGGGGGCAGTCGGCTGACAGAGTTTCAAGGTCTGCAGGGGGGAGAGGCTAGGTCGGGGCAAAGAGACAGCTCCAGGGCTTCGGAGGTCGTGGGCCGGGCTCCCGAATCTGTCCATTCTCAGTGCCCCGTGGTCTACAGGTGCAGCATGTCTAGACTTGGCGCCTTGGGCGGCACCCGCACGGGTCTGGGGCTGTTGCTGGGCACGGCCGCGGGCCTCGGAGTCCTGTGCACCCTCTACATCCAGCGGTGGAAACGCACGCAGCGCCGGAGCCTGTCCAGCTCCCGGGACTACAGGCGGCCTTCAGAGCCCGCACGCCAAGGTAAGAGCCAGCCCCTGAGGTCGTGGTCACGGCTGACACGAGGCCAGGGGCCCAGGCCCCCTTTAGTAGGGCAGGGCAGTAAGACTGCTGAAGGGTTTCACCTGCCTGGGAAGCTTATGGAAAAGGAAAGCAGTCTTCATCTTTCGTGCTGGTTCCCCCGCAATTCCAGGAAAGTATGTTGCGAAAGACTTTCACTTTCAGTTCTGGCCACTTCCTGTGTGTTGTGTTTTAGTGTGTGTAGCAAGTGCAAAAGTAACAAATCTGGTGAGAAGTAAAAGTCTTGAGGGTTGCTTATATTAGGATTTGAAGGAGACATGGAAGACAATGGAGTCCAAGTTTTTTGTCCTCCTTATGAAGAAACCAAGATTCAAATAGTTGAGTAACCGTCCTGGGATTTTCACAGAGAAAGCAAGTAAGTGGCAGTTGGGCCTGATCACCTGGTGCAGTGGACTTTTCCACAGCACAGGCTTGGGAGCTCACTGGGGAAGCCAGCCACAGCTGAAATGCCAGGGCTTTCAGTTTTGCAAAACTTTCATGTTCACTCCTTTAAGAATCTTTGCTTAATAGAGGGGTGTTCACATTAGCTCATCCCATGTTAATTGTGTTTCTTCTGCTCACCAAGGCTGGGTTTGATTTTTGCCATGTCGGTTTGGAAAAGTTAATTTTGGAAGAACCTTCAAAGAGTTACCAACTCTAAAATACTGTGTGACCCTGACAAGAATAGGTATCTATTTAGGAACCACTGTTCACTGTGGTGACCAGGGACGTGGAGGGGAATCTCTCTAGCTGGTAGACACTTGCTTTTGGGGATGAGAATGGTAGCACAGTGTGGGGTGATGAGCACCGCCTGATCAAAGAAAGTGCCTCTAAGAGGCACACAGGAAAAAAAGGATGTTTGCACTAAAGAATTCAGCCTACGTAATTTGGCAGGCAGCAGCACCAATAATCACCATGAGTGCATGGTCACATAGGCATATATATGTAAGGATAGGTATGTGAATCTGTACATAAAAGGGGTTTCAGAAAGACTGTAGGAAAAGAATGGAAGGATAATGGAATTTTCCCAAACTTTTTGAAGCCTTCAGGTGTGCATTGATAGAAAAGTATCTATATGCACGTGTATATATGTATATATATACAAATGAGTGTGCATGTATATATATTCATACAGGAACACAGTTCTAGATACTTCTGAGATATAACCAAACACCTTGCAAGATTGGTTTTCTGGGTTTTGAAGGCTTAGGACCTTAGTCTCATGGGACAACTCAGTTAATTGGCATCACAAAGTTCATGTTTTGCACCCTAGTGAGGTGTGAATAGTGTCTGGGGTCTTAAAAACAAACAGCCAAATAGGACAGAACTATTGGTCCCTATTTTTCAGGAGCAAAAGAAGGAAGCCAACTTCTCAGAGAAGAAATTAAGTCTACAGGTCTAATATCCTACATGAGCCACATCCTCATCTACCCCGAGACCGGAAGAACTAGATGGTGCCCAGCTACCACTCCCGACAAATCTAATCATCCTAGCTGGACCCTGAGAGAATGGGAGGAAAACATGGGACAGAACTCAAATTCTTAAACAGTCCAGACTTCCTAGGCCATACTAGGCCTGTTGAGACAGAAGACTTCCTGAGATGTTTTTGTCCTGAGATAGTCTTTAAACCTTCAACTGAAACTATCTGGAGGATACCTTTTAGTAAAGTGAAAGATTGGCACAAAAAATACAGGATATTATCCATGAGTATAGTTACTCCGTTAAAATATTATCGCATGAGAGCCAAAGGTCAACAGTGACCAAAGCAAAGATGAGAAGATAGGGGCAGAGACCCCAGAGCAGGGAAATGGAACAGCCAGAATGCAATTAGAGGACTCTTCGAGAAGCCTGTGGAAAATGGCTTTGAAATATCATGGAGTTTTTCCAGGAACTATTTGAAGCCCCCTCAAAAGGCAAATGTTGAACCATCATGAAAATTTAATGAATGTCACTGAACAAATATGGGTAGAAATAGAAATTATCAATTGGGAACCTAATTTTCTGGGCAGCCGTTGATTGAAAGGATAGTAAAATAGTGCTTAAGAAGAGAGATGACTAGATTGCAACCGAGTGGCAGCATGGTGCATGTTGCAGTAACCTAGGACTGCTATGCTTCGCTTTCCTGCCCTTCCCTCGTGTTTTGTTTGAAAGTTCTTCGCAAGTTTTCCTCTGTTGAGGCTGGGAGGAAGAGGCCTGAGGATCCTTCATGCTCTACATTCTTAAAACGTTGTTGGCTGTGCAGTGTAATATGTGTATTGTTAGTAGGTGTTCTTTAACAGGATTTATACTTGCTGGGTTTGTTGGTACAGCATTCCTGATCCTCTCCCCCCCCCTCCGGGTTTTACCTGTGCCAGTCGAGGTACCTCAGCATTCCTGATTCCCCCCGCCCCCTCCGGGTTTTACCTGTGCCAGTCGAGGTACCTCAGTGCTTCTCAGTTTGCTTGCATTTCACTCTTTGAATCCCCTGCACCTCAGTTCAAGGTTTGGTCAGTGGGCTTAGACTTAGTGTTTTACCTATGGCGTCTGTATGGACTATGTCTAGTTTACCTTTTGCCTTAGTAACTTCTCTCTCTCTTCTTTTCTGATGATACTGAATGCAATCCTTGAGTAGAGCTCAGAATTTTCTTTCCCATTCTTTGTGAAGTGAAAGTGAGCTCAATTTCCATTAGCTGTGTGGTAGGCATTGGCTCCTCGTATGTGGGTACTGTGGGGTCAGGTAAAGACTTTCTTACTCCAATTGGGCATTTTGCACCATCTGCTGTGGTATGCCACAGTGCTGATGAGTTTGGGGAGAAGGTCTTGGTGCAGGAGACTCTTGGTTAGCGATTAGAGCCTTCATGCCCCAGCCTCTGCCCCTGCCCCAGATAGCTCCTTGGAACTTGTTTCTATGATTTAGTTGTGAAAAAATGCTATTTTAGCCTGAAGGGTCTTCTCTATAAGCTGTACTTCAATCCCAAGGGCAAGACTCCTTCTTCTCCATTGCCCACGGAGGCCACTGTCTTCCTCCTTACAGTGATGCCGTTGCGGGCAGCCGCAGGTGAGGCTGGAGATGCTGCGGTGCTGCCCAGCCTTCCACGAGAAGGGCAAGAGGAGGTGCTGGACCGCCTGGACTATGTGCTGACCAGTCTCGTGGCACTGCAGCGGGAGGTGGAGGAGCTGAGGAGCCGGCTGCAGGGGCTTGCTGGAGAGATTGTTGGGGAGGTCCGGTGAGTATTGGGGCCTCCTGCTACTTTGTCCCCTTGCCCCCAACTTCTTCCAGCCCTATGGCATTCCCAGCTGGGGTGTGTTCTGGCTTTTGTTATGTATCTTTAGGGAAGACCAGTTTATATAGCTTCTTTGCAGTGAAGCAGTACACGTGGACCTTGCCTTGTACCCATTCCTTGCTGCCTCCTCACCCTTCCAGTCTGGCAGCAGCTGGAACTCTGTCCTGCTACTTGGTTGGCATGCACCAACCCACTGGGACCAGAGAGCTGCCCCTTCTCGCTCTCCTGAGGGTGGAGACCCAGTACTTTTCTTTACCTTCGGCTTAGAGTGGTGGTGAGGGCAGTCAGGCTGGGTGGGGCGGCTATGGCCCCCCACTGAAAGGGATCTGCCTTCCAGATCCCACCTGGAGGAGCACCAGCGAGTGGCTCGGAGGCGAAGGTTCCCGTTTGGCCGGGAGAGGAGCGACTCCACTGGCTCCAGCTCTATCTACTTCACAGCCACTTCCGGAACCACGCTCACCGATGCTGAGAGCGAAGGGGGGTGAGTCGTCTCTCCTGGGGGCAGTGGTGGCTGAAGCCTGGCTGTGTTTTTAAAAAGTAATACTTATTAGTGGAAAGTTCGGACCAAACTGCTATAGGAACTTTTTGGAGCAAGGAAATGTTAGAAGTAAAATAGAGAAAATTTAAAATAGAACCAAAAAAAGCACCCCATTTGTCATCGAGACCTAATCTTGCTTTGGTTATTTTCCTGAGTAGCTTTTTCACACATCTGTACTTGTGGTATCACAAGGACTGTATGAACATTTGGGGTGGCTTCATTTCTCTCACTGCTGACTGAACCAGGTGCGCAGGATCTCTGAGCACTGTGTGCTCCCACCCGTGGATGTTCTCGTCTTCCCAGGGGTGAGGCCTGCCCAGGAGCCCAGCTGTGCCCGTGGGCGGTGACTGATCCAGTTTTGTGGTGGCCCAGCAAGTCTGACCATACTCTTACTGAGGCATGGCCACTTGGGACAGTCTCTAAGCTGGGTCTAGCTGAAGGCTTTCTTAATTTTTTTTTGTCTTTGAAATGATATTTTATTAGATATTTTTAAAAGATCCATTGCTATCTAGTTGAATGCACATAGGGTTTCAGCAGCTTTAACTCTGTAAGACTTTCTGATTTAAACCACTTTGAAGCCTGGTGCCAGGGCTGGGGTCTGAGTGAACGTCCCGGTGCCTTCCGTGCTGCATTCCGTGGCGGCCAGTGCCTTGTCCGCAGCTGCTCGCTCCTTTATGGCTTTTGCTGACTTTTCCTCCTCCTCGGGGAAAACACTGTTATAGAGAGTGGTGAAGTCTTGCACTACATTGGGGTGCCTGATTCAACTGTGAACATGCATGTGGCAATGAGGAGTTAAAATCAGCCATTCAGCATGAATTTATCGGCTTCCATTTCTTCTGTTCCTCTGCACCAGACCGCCAAGCACTTAAGAATTATTTCTTCACTTAACCCTCACATCAGGACTAAGGAGCAGGCACACTTCCATTCTCCCGTTTTTCAACAGAACATACAAACGTTCTTAGAAAGACCCTCAGCACATGGCCCCCGGGAGTTCTACTCCATTGGCTGACCCACAGCACATGGCCCCCAGGAGTTCTGCTCCATTGGCTGAGCACTGCCATGGGAAGAGCCACTACCAGGGAAGAGCGGAGACATCGCAGTGCCGTTTGTCCCACCCACCTCGGTCGCGTCTTTTTGCAGCCGTGTTTTCTTGGCAGGGCCGTTCTGTTTTGTGGCACACCCTCACTTAGTTGTCTGAAAATGAAGACGAGTGCTCGTCTCCCATATCACTGCCACTGGGTGCATGGGCTGGCCTGATTACTGCGCAGGCCCCTCTTGAAAGCAGTGAGCCAGTGCCTCTGCCCTTTATGACTACAGTTGCCAGTAGTCTGCCTTCTCAGGGGCTAGCAAAAGCAGCCCCTTTCCACTCAGTGTGCTTCTGGGCCAAGAGATGATTCCCAAGGAGTGCTGTAGAGGAGGGGCAAAAATGAAATGACTTTCACGTGTACTTGAACTGCGAAGAAAGGAGGACTAGTAGTAGTTCAGAGTGGACCCAAGCTTCAGGAGTGTATGTGTGGGGCCCAGGCAAGCAGGCCCGTTGGGTAGGAATTGGCATTTGAATTTTCGAAGAGGGGCTGATGAGAGATCACAGCTCTGTCTAAGATTAGAAAGTAGAACTCAGGGGCCTTGGTGATGGTCGAGAGAAGGTGCACAAACATTAGAGACCAGCAAGAGCCCGAGTGGTTAACTGGGTAAATTTACAGGCGCCTCATAGTTGAGGTGCTTCTTGGGGCTGCAAAGGCTACACTAGGCAGGCCAGGGTTGCCATCCACCTGCGGTGGGGCAAGCAAAGGGTGGTTTTCTCCCCCCCCCCCCTTTCTTTTTGTGATTGAATCAAAACTGAGAGCAAAGTGGTCTTTTAGAACATTCTTTTTTCTTCTCCTTCATAACGTTCTTACATGTTTTGTTTTGTGACGTTGGTTGCAGGCCCATCGCAGCAGCTTCCCGTTTCCTCTCTGTCGTTCCCATTTCTCCTTCTTTGCTGTGCCCCTTCCTGTGGGGCTTCTTCTTCCTGGCACAGGCTGCCCTTTGGTCTCGGATGGTTGACTGCTCAGATGAGAGTCCCTTGCTGGTGATTGTTCACCTGATGGCTTTCTCGATGCCAGCTCCAGTGGGCTTGGCCTGACTGGTCCTGCGGGGGCACATGGGAGCTGGTGGTGGTGCGAGACTGGTTTGGCTGGTTTTTCTCTGGGGCAGCGGCCATGGCAAGTACTGTTCTGTGCTTGGTCAGTGTCATGTAGGGCAAGGGGGAATCTGGCAGACCACAAATGCTGGCCCAGGGAAAAGGGGCTTCTCTGAGTGATGAAGGGGTAAGATTCGATGGGCTCTCCCACTTGACTGCAAGCTCTATCCCTCTTCTCCCACTTGTGTAAGAGCAGCTTGGAGTTCCTAGAAAATGGACGGACTGGCTGAGGCAGAATTACTGATCACAATTTAAGCTCCCCCCTTGTCAGAACTCAGTGTGACATGAAACACCTCCTTCTCCAGGAAGCTTTCCCAGGTGTCTCACCAAGAGGGACAGCCCACGTTCCATCTTTCCTCCTCCTTGGGCACCCCCTTTTAGCTTGAACTTTATCTCCTTATCACCGAGAGCCTCTCAGGGTCAGGACCAGGCCTGGTCATCGTTGAAATGTCTCACAGCTCAGCCTCTCTGTTGGGCTTAGAAGCTGAGAGAAATACCACCAGAAGGGCTTTGTGTGAGACCGAGTTCTTGGTCACCGATTTCCTGGCTCTCCCTGAGGGTCCGAGGAAGGGTCTCTGACTTTGCTCTGCGGGAGCCTGGGGCCTCTGGTGCACCAGAGGAGCAATGTGTTCTCCTGGTGCAGAGGTTCTTTCCAGAAGCCCCCCCAGTCCTGGCAGATCTCAGAAGCTTCAGTGTTAAACAAAAAGATGGCCGTTCCATCTAGGATTCTCCATGGGTTCGGCTGGTGGTCAAGGAGGTGAGAGCAGCTACCTTCCCTGTGGGTGCCTCAGCTGGGGCTCCTTAGGGAGTCCTGGCCTAGACAGCCGCTGAGAGGCCCCTTTTCTTTGTTCCCTCTTCCCCCCTCCCTGTTATCTTCAAAGTAGTCCCCACCCCTAGCAAGGTCCCATGGCTTGTAAGGGCCACTGTGCGTGGCTCAGACGTGGTTGCTGACTTAGGCCAGAGGCACAGCTTAATTGAGAAAGGAAATGTGGGTGTCTGTGCTGCCCGTGACCTTGGAGGCTGGCACCCGCCCTTGTTGGTGCTGGCAGGTGCCTTTGGCTGATAAAGCAAAATGATTGACAAACCCATAATCTCGTGAGTAAATTTAGCTTAGGAGATCAGCACCACCTATAACTGAAGGTTTTAATTAAAAAAAAAAAGTGTAAAAAGAATATATGCTCATTAAAGACATCACAGTTAAAGAAGAAAATTTTGCCTTTAATTCCTCTACCCCAAAGATCTACCATTTTGATACAAATATAAGCCTTTTTTCCCTCCTTCTTTCCTATTTTCTGGCCAGTGATACTGGCAGGAGGTTCTTAGGGTGTGTAATAGTCTAGGTACTTTGGAGAAACAAATCCACGGCGACTCACGTATAAGAGAGAGTTTTATGTAAAGAAAAGGTGCATCACAAAAACATCCCAACCCAATGCTGCCCAAGCCCACAAGTCCAACATTAACCCATTAA